GCCTCATTTCCTAAAATTCCCAACTGCATCTTCTATAAAATTTTGCAGCTTTCAAGCTAAGCAATTTGCTAAGCAGGAAGTAATTTGACATGTTCACCATGTTTAGAAGATATACGCCGGAACACATTCCCAAAGTGTCATACGAATCGCGTAAAAACCTCGTTTTTTCAGCTTAGTAGTAAATATTGGTATCAAAAAGGAAATTTTATTCTCCTTTATCAATTTGTATCTTTTAAACTAAAGCAAGCAGTTATTTTCACCATCTCTAAAAGACACTCTACCCGAAAAGTCTGCAAATTTCCTTAAAATTGTCCAGAATCTTGATTTTTATCGGCATAGTAAATATGAGCCTGAAAAGTATGCTTATACCCAACCGCGTTTCGTCTCTTTAAAAAATTTGTATCTTGCAAAATAATGCACGCACCAATTAGGAACTTTGACAATCTTTAGAAGATATCTGCCCGAACAAATCCTGAAAGCTTCATAAAAATCGCAAAGAACCCAATTTTTACAGGTTGATAAATATTGGTCTCAAAATGAAAAAATCAATTTGTATCTTTTAATCTAAACAAGCAGCAATTTTAAATTTCCACCATCTTCAAAACACACTTGACTCGGTACTTTTACAAAAATTTAATTCCAATTGTTCAGATTTCTTATTTTTATCAGCAGGAATATCAGCCCGAAAATGCATGTTTTCATCTTYTTTAGAAAATGCCTATTCTGACGAACCTTTATTTTTTTTTGACGATTTTTATAAGAATCGCGTAGAAACCTGACTTTTTCACCTTAGTAAATATTGATCTCAACTGGATATTTTTACAACAACCCAGCTGCGCTCTCTACTCTAAAAATTCAATTTTTTGAATCTACAGCAAGCAGAAATTCAATTTTTTACCATATCTAGAAAACACTTCACTTGAAAAGTTCTGAGAATTACGTTAAAATTCTTCAGAATCCTGGTTTTTGTCAGCATAGTAAATGTCGTCTCAGTTTTTACCCAATTGCGCTATATCTCTTGCAAAATTTGTATCTTGCAAATTAAACCAGGCAGCAATTTGAAATTTTCACCACATTTAGCAAATTCCTGTCGTATCAAATCATGAGAGTTTCATGAAAAATTGCGCATAATTCTGTTATTTTTTAAATTTTAGTATAAATACCCATTTTCCTATTGCGCTCTCTCCTTTAGAAAATTTTATTTTTTAAATCTAGGGCAAGCAACAATTCGAAATATTTAAAAAACTCTTTATCGGTAAAGTTCTCCAAATTTTGTTAAAATTGTTCAAAATCTTGATTTTTGTTTTGGTAAATTTCGGCCTAAAAATTAATGTTTTTACTCATCTTAAAAATTCGTTCCTTGCAAACTAATGCAAAGATATATTTGAAATGTTCACTGTCTTTAGCAGTTACCCGCCGCAACAAATGCTAAAAGATTAATAAAAACCACAAAAAAATCTAAATTTTTACAGCTTTAGTAAAAATTGACCCCAAAACGCATATTTTTACCATTAGGTACCCAGCTGCGCTTTTTCAAAATTTCCATCCGTCAAATATAAGCAATAGTTTTAAAATTTTACCATGTTTAGAAGACATTTGATCAGAGGAATGTTTCACAAAAGAAAAATTCTGATTTTCGTCTACATGTTAAAAATTCAGTTATAAAATGGAAGGTTTTACTTAACTGCGCTCTCTCCATTAGAAATTCACAACTTCTACAACTAAAGCAAGCAGCATTTTATAAGATAAGACGAGCAACGTTTTATAAAAATTGCCCTGATGTTTACCAGCTTAGTAAATATTGCTATTCTTTCAATTACCTAACTGCGCTTTCTCATTTAAAAATTCGCATCTTTGAAAATAACGGAACAACTAATTTGAAATTTTCACCATCTTTAGAAGACACTTGACCAGAAAAATTCCGTGAGTTATGTAAAAATTGCCCAGTACCTTGATTTTTTCATCATAGTAAATATCCGCCTAAAAATTCTGCAGATTAAAAAATGGAGAGCGCGAAATTTATGGCTTGTACTGAACCTCGCATTTTACCTTACGCCTAAGCATTGCAACTATGACAATAAATGTCTATGTTAAATGTTTTTAGTTTCCTTTATTTTTAGTTCCAAATATTGCATTTAGGTTTTCGTTATTTGCTATCTAAACTTTTCACTATGGCCAATACCCAGCTTCTAGTATAAAAATCATCCAGTTTAAAACGTACAACTCACGTCCCGAATAGGCAATTATTCATTTTTTTTTATTTTACCCATTTTCAAATACTGTTTTCATACCGGCCAATTTATCCCCTGGCACATATTTCGCGAACTCCCGGCCCATAATGTTTCATTAACCCCCTAAGTTAAAATAATAGCCATAGTGTTATGCACTCTCTATTTTGGTCTCTCGTATTACATTTGTCGCCAAATCCAATAAAGATGAATATTAGCATAATGATAGAAGGGCGTTTTGGGACCATGTTGTCACATGTTAACCGGGTGTTAGTTTTAGGGACAACCAGTTTTCTCTATTTGTTAGACACGATTTTTAATTAGTTTTTGCTTGGAATGTTTTATCAAAACGGATTTATTTTTTGAAATTGTTAAAATTTATGTTTCTTCAGTCGTAAATTTTTGGTCCTTCGACCTCAAATTACTATTCATTTTTCACTGCTTCACTAAGTTTCTTTCATTTAAATAAGTCAATTCAGTTAAATTTAAATAGGATGTTAAAATGTATGAACTAAAATACTTAAATACAGAAAATAGAACTTGAAAATTTCCATTTATCAATCTTAACTGATAGGGAGTGAAACATTCCAAATCGTACTAAAGTATTACATGAAATTTTTACCAAATCAATTAATTTTGTCTCTTTAAAAAAAATTCTTCTTATAAATTGATCAGCCAATTAATATACAAATTCTCTACCTGCAAAGCATCAGTTGTATAAACGAAAGGTATTTATTTTTATTCAATAATTTTGCTCCAATTTTAACGTCTGAACAAAACAACAATTTCTTATATTTGAAGTTGTTTTATTTAACTGTTTCCAGATTTTGCAAACTGCAATACAACAGCTTCTACAAAGATCCAAAATTTAAAGTTTAATTTTATCAGTTAAAAGTTTTGGTTTGTCAGTCGTAGTTGATGTGGCATTTTATATTTTGGCTAATTAATAATTTTTGTTTATGTTGTTTACTTGTTCTTTGTTTGCGTCGGGGTTTGTCTCTTTCTATTATTACCTTCTAACAAAAATCGATCAAAATCWTTGATCAAAAACACTAAATTTTTTATTGTTTTTCCACAAATTAATCTGCTCATTTGGTTTTGCTAACAGCATCAATAGCAAAAGTAATGATGAATGAACGGAAATAAAATATTTCGATATCTTGCTGTATAAAATCACAGCAGCAAAGGGAAACGAGAAATTTCCCTGAGACAAACTATTAATTGCTAATGCCTTAAAAAATGCCCAAAAATGAAATGATGCTTTAAAAAATCATAAAAAATCAGTTTGAAGTAATAAGCATGTTTGTTTATGGTTTGTTTACATTTTATTACATTAAAGCATCAGCATCAGAAATATATATCAGAATCTAACAATTCAAAACTATAAATAAATCAAACGAACAAAATCTGCAGATAATCTCCAAACAGCAGCTGAGTCCTCAAATAATTTAATTTTATGCAAATGAAAACCTAAAAACCAAACCAAGTTTCTCGACTTTTCATCTGGAAATATTTGTTTACATATACAGCCTTTGCGACGTTTTTTATGGAAAACTTACTTTCGAAACAGTAAGTATTTATAATAAATCAAACTCTTAAATAGTTGATTTAATGAAAAGAAGAAAGGACGTAAAACTCTAAAAAATGTTTAAATACATTTGTCTTCAACTGAATGAATGCAATAAAATTTGACTCAGTTTTGACGAAACTTAGAGCTTCTGACCTTAAAGTGGTACCCAAAATAGCACATGCCAAGACAGTGAGATTATTTTCTGTTTCATAATAATTTTAGTTGAAAGTTTGCAGGAAAACCATTAAGTATATATTCTGGAACATGTTGGGGGCGGCAATTTGGCAACGATGTGTTGGAGGCGGTCCTGCTGTCACCATGCCGCTTCCAGGTCATAAATAGAGCGCAGCAGTGGAGGCATATTGAGGTTGCATTGATATGTATCAGTGCCGGTTTTATTGCGGGTGTAATCCCTCTATCATAGCTCGATCAGCATAATAATAGTTTAAATGTTGGACGGAAACATCTGGGTTTCCCACCGGCTTCGACGAATAATAATGGGGTGGAAATTCGATCAGGAAAAGACTGTAGCAGGAGGTGATGGAAGATTGGCTTACATTAGCCTTTTAATTGGACTCGGCTTCATTCTCATGAATGTTCGTAGTAATTGGATCAATTTGAGGATCAACCACGTTTCTGGTCCTTGGATAAGCAAAGTTCTCTGAGCAGAGTTTTTCGCAGAAAAGAAAATTATGTAAAATGAAATTGAGTTTGCAATGTTCCCGCTCAAAAAATATTATTTTTCTACAGAATGTTTTCACATCTGACACATTTTTCCTATTGAAGCGCTTTTGAGAATGCTGATTGTTACGCAATAGTTTTTCTTTTAACTAATGGATGACGTGATTTTTATGATTTGAAAACTTTAGAATAAAAAAGGAAATAGTTGCGTTAGCATCAAGTTTTTGAGATGCTTGCAAATAAATAAAAGTTTCATTGAAAATATTCCAGAACCAAAACCAGCCAGTTTCCAAGGAAAATGGCGCCCAACTAGAAAAAGGGAAAAGAACAAGGGAGCAACAACATGATTTTCATATAGACGAACCATCCTGAATACGTGTTTGGGGTCATAAAATTAACTCACTCTCCCCACAACGTAATGCGGGCTCTTATGCATACCAACTAAAATACATGTTCTGATTAGTATTTATGACCGAGCCGAAGACGAATGAAAATCTCTGCTTTTTGACATGCTGTAATATGTCAGATTTATTTACGTTTCGCGAAACTAAATCAGTCCGGAAACTTGATCCATATTAATTGCGATCGTTTTTCCACAGTCTAACAGATTTGGGATCTTAAAGTGGTTCTGCTTAGACGGTGTATTTTGGGAATGCTGCTGGCATTTATTTGTAGATGGAACAGCTTTTTCTGAGACATTTAGTTTGCATTTAAACTGTAAAAGTTTATACAAAAACAGCACAGTCACAGAAAACCTCCAGATAATGTCCAAAGTCTGATTTTAAACAAATGTTTCAAGAAGCAAAACAAAAATTTGGAAAAATTCCGGTACAGAATCCAGAAGCTACCTCGTCGTTTCAGATCGAATAAATATGACACGCAGAAATATTATAAAATGCCAGTCACTAAAAGCTCTACATCTAAATGGAAACCAGCGGAAAAGCAATGCCAAACTTACCGAAAGGAGCATCGTGCCACCTGGAAAGAGAAAAGAAATAGTGTTTAGTACAGCAGAAAATCTGCCCAAAGCGATGTTATTGGAAATCAGCAAAACAAAAAAGGGTAATTTAAAGAATCCTTAAAACTTCAGTATCATTCGAATCATTTCTTCATTTCGAGTATTGAACTTAGTTCAAACTAACGGATTTATAGATTAAAAATCATTCTTACAAGCCTTCTGCAAGCTTTCTCGCTTTCTGCATTTTCTATCCATCAAGTCTTAGAAAGCACATACTACACTTGATCACACAATGAAATTGCAATTCGAATTATAAACTTTCCTTAAGGGTCACAATGATTCTATATTTTCCATTTATGTACGCGATTCGCCCGACGMAAAGGACTGGCGACCGATTTCGTCCATTGCCTGCAATTATTSGAAATTTAAGTTTTGACTGGGTATACAAAWTTTTATAAGCCGCGCATATTAGAAAAATGTGAGGACAAACTCAATTATTAATAACCAGCAAATTATTCTTCTGAGTCGTATCAACTACCCCTCGATTTACGTAATCTAGACAAGACAAAAAAATATCTGGAAATTGTTTTCTTTATGGCCCACTTGTTCAAAGTAGAGGAAGATGCAAGGCACTCAGTGTGCAAAACGTTAGGACACTTCGTATCAGCCACCCTCTAGATAGACGAATAAATAAACCAACTGTTAAACCATTGCTCACCTTTAATCATTTTCAATTAAACTTAAGGTAATTTTTCATGTAAATCGATTGATAAAATTTAGACCGATATAAAATTCGACACGTTAAAAAATACAAAATATTGATATATTGGTGTTGCTCCATAAATCACAATCAAAGAATGATTTAGCTGTTTAATGGAAGGCGCATTTTCTCTGTATAGCGTGATAACTCATTTCCCAATGGCAGCAATACCAAGAGCTTTTTGTTTCGAGGAGTATTGATCAAAGCAGCGTTTTGTTGGTTGGTTAGCATTTCGATAATAATTGGCAGTAAATTATTTAGGATTCTGGTGGAGTTTGTGGAGCGTAAGACAGTCTGGCGGTGCGGGCAACTGGTGCTGGGCTAAATGGGGATTATGTTTGGAGGGGATTGGGGCCAATCAAGGAGTCACTGTAGGCTCCCCTTTGGGTGCATCAATTTCTAATTGTTCCATCATTTTTTTGGCAGTTTTATTTGGATTTAGTATCCCCATTTACACATAAAAATTGCATATGAACGTGTGAAGCAGAGAGTCTTCTTTGAGGCGAGTCCCTGACTACCCACACAATTTTCTTCTTCACGATGTATGCAACGTTCAGAAATATCTACTTTAATATTGATCTTAAATCAGCAGAATTTTAATTTAATACTTTATACATGGGAATCTATTAAATTTTTAATCGGTTAGAGAAACTTAGTAGCTAAATAACCCCAAAATACATACATTAAACGTTCTTTTTCTGGACAAAATACGCAAAATAATTCAGTTTTTAATTGTTTGAGCTATTGTGCTCTTGTATTATACGGACGAATATTTCTAGACCACAACTAACCGATCCCCTAGAGAATATATTGTATCATTATCTAGTTCCTCTAGATATTAGGCTTTGCCTAAGCAATACATTAACAGCTTGGGAATGTCTGGGAGTCAATAGAAACGAAAGATTTATCTTTTGCGCTTCGCAGGAAACAAATGGGCCAAATAATCGATACTGATATCAGGAACAAGAAAGATTTATGGTTGACACATGACTCGAAGGAAGACAAAATGAGGTGGCTTGCACGATCGCGGAAGACTAAAGTTTACAATCAACAATTTATGGGCGGAAACATAACTCTTCCATGCTTAACATGAAAAAATTTGTGTGCTTATAAATTTTATTTCAATTAATAAATGTGGGTCAAATATGATTTGGAATTTTGCAAACGAATTTTGGAAAAAGAGTTTAGATCATTTTTTAAATGTTCGTAGCGAAGCAAGCGAAATGGTTGGGAAAACCTGCGGAATTGGTAGCTAGATTATAATTGCTCGAAAATTGCCATAAATATTCTGAGAGAGAACAAGAGAATGGCAAAGGAAAATTAAAAATCGTGCGAATATTAAAATGTCAAGGTTTGTTGAACCTGATACTTAGAAGAAAGGCACTCAGATGGGAGAAAGTGAAAGGTTTCATATAAACAAAGAGCATATAAATCTAATTGTTTGCTAAACATTTGGCAGCAAACAATTTTATTATTTGAGTTTTATCTGCAAAATAGTATTTAAACATTTGAGGCAGATGTTTGAAATGCATTTAGTTGCTCCCCCCATAGGTTGATTGAACAGCGGAAAAGGAAATTTTCCAAAAATTGACCGACACTGGAGAAACTTTGCACAATTCACTCCCCATTTCTATTAGTACAATTTGATTGCTTTATAATCTGTACACAACAGTAATCCGGGAAGAGTCGCAAACGTACTACAGGAGTGAAGGGAGGTAGAGCTGGAGACCGATAGTGTCAAGCAGGGTATTATAGGCGTCTATGCAACCAAATGATTTGATTATTTAGGAAATCCCGCGGAATAATTGAAATATCGAAAAGACATGAACGAGTATACGAACAAATGGATAGGCGAGGTCTTTATAAAATGAAACCAAAAAAACCTGTTTATTTTCGAATGGATAAAAAAATCGAATAGAAGGATGAGCAAAACCACCTAAAGCGGAAATCGTATATCATTGCCAAGTAATTTAGTTACTTCCATTAAGAATTGGCATATTGCAACAACCGTTTGAACTACAAGAGTTAGCTTTTGTGCACACTATTATTACCTACTTTTTCGCTAACTACTGAATTAATTGGACGTGCCAGTGGGGTTTCAAAAAATCGTATGGGTTTTTTCTCCTTATTTATCCACCACTGAAACGACGATCTGTTAGATAGCAAATACTGAAGAGGCAATAAATTTTACACAAAAAAGTACTCCTGATTTTTTACGGTACGGTTAACCGTTTTCAAGAAAAGTGGCATTTTATGAACAAAAACAAACATATTGCTATCGGGTACACACGATACATTCAAATCTTCACCAATGGGTACGTGCAAAAAATTCCACTACAGTGCGAAAAACTACTTATTAATAAACAGGTAAATGGTGTACAGCAGGTCAGTTTTGTGGTTCAACCGGTATATTCGGTAATATTCGAAAAAGAAAACGAAAAATTAATTATAGTTTTGACCCTGTATTTCAGTGTACCGATGTGCCATCACCACCCTGAATAATAAACAACACGTTTTTAAGATTTTTCAATAAATAGATAACAAATAAGTATTTTTATGTTCAAATTGGGCTGACAAAAGAAAAGCGCACGACTGATATTTTTCAATACGTAGTTTTGCTTAAACAAAAAGTATCTTACTTCCTTCCAAAATTTTCATCATAGTTTAGTGGAAACTTTTCTCAAAAACCATTCTATAAAAATAATTTAGGAATCTGACGAGAACAACATCAAGAGTATCACGTTTCGTATGAAATATTAAGTTTTCGTGTGCATTTAAAAAAAACCTTATTTTCACCTTAGAATTCGAGCGTAATGATGTGAGTGCTTTATTGATTGGCAATTAATTTTAATTTAGAAGATACAAAAAATTGAATTATTAATTAAGGCAATATGAAACATTTAAAAATAGAACTTGGAATGAAAACATGTTATTCGGCATTTCTACCAGTAAGAAATGCACCAGCATTTTAATTTTCTAGCGAAAAATTACGAACCAACGTTTTTGTGAATGAAGAAGAATATATACCTAACTATAAAAAATCAGTAATAAGCAATCAGTTGAAATGCCGCACTAACAGGATTTGCTTTCTTAAAGATTTCATATTCTTATCTTTCCTGAGTCTCAGTCAGAGTGAAGTAAAAATTTAGATAGCAGCGCCATAATCAGATTTAAAATTTACACAAGAAATTTACACACATCAGCTGTTGTCTCGCCGAAACGTAATGAAATAAACGATATTCAAAATTTGTACTTCAGACTTTGACTGAGACCCAGGAAAGATACGAATATAATAACAAGTACACGCAGTCAGGAAAATAAATCAAAATTAAAGTTTTAATTCTACAATAGTTTTTTAATTCAGTTTATTGTACGCCCTTCTTCTACCTGCTTCGAAGTTATAAATTTGCCCTGAATTACCATGTAACTTGCAGTTTCCGAATAATTTAAATTAATACACAATTGCGGTACTGATGCTTGTAGATGTTACCAATAAAAGCGATTTTCGTTCGAGCAAATATCTTGGTTGAATAAAAAAGAATCTGGTCAATTAGGGAAAATAGAGATTAATTAGGGACTAACTTTCCAGTATTTCCACGCGACTTTATAAGTGAAAAAGGAAATAACCGAAGGCTTTTCTCGGGATCCTTATGTTCATTGCTTGCAGGAGCGGACCCAAACGGGCCAAAACTCGTTAAGGATGGATTAGGTCGGCGTACGTTTAAAATGGCACCGCATTTTCCAGTCAGTCACTCACACGCTTCTGCTTTTAACTAATTAAATAGTTTTATTACGCGCCTTTAAGTACCGATGTATTCAAGGAGAAAAATAAAATCTTGGGGGCTTTTATACTTAATTTCATTCTTCAAGTAGATTTATTTGGTTGCAGCGGTTTTATTGCCGGGAATTGTTTTTAATCAGCAGTCATTCTTTAAAAATCGTGGTTATTGCCCTAGAAACACAGCAAGATTTGCTGTTTTTCATTGTGCTACTTGAACATAATCGTTTTTCCACCAGCTTTGGGGACATGCTGAGGGTAGTTTCAACTACCCCTAAAGAAACACATTTTTTCATTTATCGTAAAAGCTAACGTAATTGCCTTAAAACGTTGACGTCGTTGACAATTTTTTGAAAAATTATTCACCTTTGCGTTAATGAATTTTTCTCAGTGAAAGACTTCACTCTGCATTGTAATATTTTATAGACAGCAAAAATTATCCACAATTTTCAAAAAAGGGAAAACGCAATTAAATAATATCTATTGGTATTTAAATTATTGGGCAATAGACAAAATGTTTACACCCAAATATTAAATCTAATAAAATAGAATATTGCTACTAAAGTGAGGACAGAGAGTGTTGTTGCCTTTCAAATCACCAGTAACTCTTAACATTTTTCTTTATTTATCTTTACTTTATCTTTACTAAAGTAACAAATTAATTATACGTTTCTTACTAAAACTGTATACGACCTATTACCAACCGTGAGCTGAGAGCTGGGCACCATTGATATAGTTTTATCTGATGACAAACTAATGGGCGAATTAATTGAAAAAATCTTTAAAATTTTCAGTACCGACAGCAATACTAGTTTGCTGAATTCAAAAAAAATTTCTATAGAAAATGGGTTTGAAAGAAAATTTACTGAAAAGCAACTGTTGAGCAAAATCTAGTAAGATGATTAGATGAAGAAAACCAAGTCAATAATATGAAATAAAATATCTATTCGTGTTAATATTGATACGGATTTGCCAGTTTCAAGTTCACTGTATCCTAAAATAGAAGTCGCTTGCTCAAAACCCGAGAAAGCAAAACAGAAAGGAGAAAAAAAGTGGTACTTTTTATGGCGCGCTCGTGTTTAGGAACGGATCAAAGTGTGGCTGATAACAGAAAATGCATTCTAGAATTGCTACTAAAAAGGAGAATATACATAGGTATCTATTTATATATACTTACGACGAAAAGAAAAAAAAATAATGATAAACTTAGACTATATGTGGAAAAGTAACTTGAAGTAAAATTTCCTTATAAATCTAGTCTTCCACATAAAATACACTAAAGCGCTATTATTTTTGGCAACTTATCAATATTTTTATAAACTATCTGCCTTTCCTGAAACGAATATTTTCATTTAATGTTTTTTTGTAAACTAACTATGAGTCGTTAATACTGCTGTAAACAAAAACTAAACTAACTGTGCAAATTACGTACTTCGCCCTAACAATTTATTTAGCACACTCAACAACTCTTAAAAATCGATGACATTTTTAGCAATATTCCGTAAATTCGTGTTTTACAATCGTTCCAAATTGGCCAAATAAATCAGTGTCACTTGATAAACATACTTAATCAAACAGCCGATACAATATCCACATATGTTGAGCAAATATGAACTCTAAAAAGCATTATAAGCATAAGCAATATGTATAATCAGAGATGACATCGAAAACAAATTGGTACATCTGTTAATTCAATTAAGGTAATGTATTACATTGTAAATTAGAGTAATTTGTGTTGGCATCAACCAAGAATTACTTTTCGACGTCCAACTAACAACGATTTAATTAAGTTTTACAATTTATTCATTTATTTTTACGTTTTATAAAATTACTAAAATTAATTTTGTAAATGCATATAAACTATTATTTGTATGACGCTTTCACTAATATTTAAAATCGATATTGAAAAATAGACTTTTAATTGAACATGTAACATAAATTATGCTAACTAATAATAATGACGGAAATACTAATAACTAACTCAAACTAAGTATAAGAAATTTATTTATTTAAAATTATTTATTATACAGGGTCGGCCTCACTAAAGTAACAAAATTCGTCGGCGCAAAATTATTGCGTTTTGTTTCAAATTTCGTTTTTTTTAATACATTGTTAACCAGTTTTTCTACTGGCAAAAAATGTTGAATTTAGAGGTTTTTTAAATCGAGGAATCAAAATTTTCTATTATTTAGCTTGTAGTTCCCAAAAGGTTCCTAAAATAAACCCCAGACACCCTGCCAATTTTCTTTAACATGAAAAAATGTGCAGATCTTAGATGTTCATGCAAACTCACAGTTCAATTGAAGATCTGATTGAAATTGAAGTTTACTGTTTTAGAGACAAAAAAAACTTAAACGTGAATGCGAAAAAT